AAAAAAAAAAAAAAAAACACCACTCTTTCACTTCACGCAATTCCACTCAAACCTGGCCCCCTTCTGAGAGAGTATACCTACTTTCGGGTATATGTGCCCGTTTTGGCGGTGGCCGTGGGGTCCCCCAGAAACCTGCCCAAGTATTTCCAAACTAGGTTTCCCGTTTTTTGTGGCCAACCTCTTCTTCCAGGCCCCCTGCAGTGGGGCCCACCCCTATGACGAGGGTCTGCTCCTGGTTGGCAAGGTTGTCCTTGGCGGGACCAGGTTCGTGAACATCACCGGTCTCGCCGCATGAACCAGAAAAAAGCAAGCGCATTTTCCCCCGAAGACGGCCACGTGCATTCCACTTTTGCTCAATTCGTGCAGTGCGGCGAGACCCCACTTCTATCTGTCAACAGAGCCTGCCAGCTGAGTTTGCCCTATTAGCATTGCCCGTCCAGCTGGAACTACCTGACAGCAGGAGCTATTGCTGTTCTATTTTTATTTGTTGTGGCCCTTCAGGACTGTGTGCAATCATGAAGGGGTATTACAGCCGTAACGCGTGCTCTCGAATCATGCAAGAAAACCTAATGCTCATTTGCCAGCACGCAGCTTTCTGGCTGTGGACAGCCTGCCAGTTGGCGCCTGCTCGAACTATGAGCCTCGCTACACCACTCTCGAAATGTGACAAACAAGAGTGATTTTTTACAAAAACAAAAAACCAAAAAAAAAGCAAGAGTGATTTTTGTCTTTTGTGCATGTCGAGAGTAGTGGAGCGAGGGCCTATACGTTGATCCATCCGGTATGATCCGGTACTCGCCAATGCACAAAAGACAAAACAAATATGGTCGTGTATCTTTCAATGTTCTTGCGGAAGGTTCGTTCTCATTTTTCTCAGTTGGCGAGCAGTGCAGCGAGGAATACCGACACAGAAAGCAACCAGGAGTAGCGCAGCGAGGCCCATAGTTTAAATGAAGTTCACGTTCCTGTGGAGTTCCAGCTCTGATGGCTGAAAGCGAAACCGGCTAATGCTGCCGGAACAACTCCGGGTTTAGATTGTGAGGTCGCCGCTGGATCAATATTCCTTCTTGCAATGAATGGTCTTGCTGTTCAAAAACCAAAAAAAAAACGAAAAAAAAACGAAAAAAAAACGCGGGCACAGAACAGTGATCTTCCAGAGATCAGAAAGCGCGCCAAATGAAACTCACTCTCTCTCTCTCTCTCTCTCTCTCT